ATTCTAAAGGGCTGTCCCCCTGGTTGGTTACTTCAGCTTGTGAAACAAGAAGTTGGCCCCAGTATATTCTAAGAATTTATTTGGCATTCTGTGTTTTGCTGCATAACTTTTCCAACAAGTGTCTACATGATTAAAGTCCCCCCCCTTATTATCTTTGGATATTTCTGTAGTTTGTTCTAGAATCATAGAATATCAGGGTTGGAAGGGACCCCAGAAGGTCATATAGTCCAACCCCCTGCTCGAAGCAGGACCAAATCCCAGTTAAATCATCCCAGCCAGGGCTTTGTCAAGCCTGACCTTAAAAACCTCTAAGGAAGGAGATTCTACCACCTCCCTAGGTAACGCATTCCAGTGTTTCACCACCCTCTTAGTGAAAAAGTTTTTCCTAATATCCAATCTAAACCTCCCCCACTGCAACTTGAGACCATTACTCCTCGTTCTGTCATCTGCTACCATTGAGAACAGTCTAGAGCCATCCTCTTTGGAACCCCCTTTCAGGTAGTTGAAAGCAGCTATCAAATCCCCCCTCATTCTTCTCTTCTGCAGGCTAAACAATCCCAGTTCCCTCAGCCTCTCCTCATAACTCATGTGTTCCAGACCCCTAATCATTTTTGTTGCCCTTCGCTGGACTCTCTCCAATTTATCCACATCCTTTTTGTAGTGTGGGGCCCAAAACTGGACACAGTACTCCAGATGAGGCCTCACCAATGTTGAATAGAGGGGAACGATCACGTCCCTCGATCTGCTCGCTATGCCCCTACTTATACATCCCAAAATGCCATTGGCCTTCTTGGCAACAAGGGCACACTGCTGACTCATATCCAGCTTCTCGTCCACTGTCACCCCTAGGTCCTTTTCCGCAGAACTGCTGCCTAGCCATTCGGTCCCTAGTCTGTAGCTGTGCATTGGGTTCTTCCGTCCTAAGTGCAGGACCCTGCACTTATCCTTATTGAACCTCATCAGATTTCTTTTGGCCCAATCCTCCAATTTGTCTAGGTCCTTCTGTATCCTATCCCTCCCCTCCAGCGTATCTACCACTCCTCCCAGTTTAGTATCATCCGCAAATTTGCTGAGAGTGCAATCCACACCATCCTCCAGATCATTTATGAAGATATTGAACAAAACCGGCCCCAGGACCGACCCTTGGGGCACTCCACTTGATACCGGCTGCCAACTAGACATGGAGCCATTGATCACTACCCGTTGAGCCCGACAATCTAGCCAGCTATCTACCCACCTTATAGTGCATTCATCCAGCCCATACTTCCTTAACTTGCTGACAAGAATACTGTGGGAGACCGTGTCAAAAGCTTTGCTAAAGTCAAGAAGTTTAGTTCATCCTCTTTACAGCCTTTTGAGACACTTGTCAGATTGGATTCCATATTCTGTGTTGTAAAATTATAAGTACAACAGTTCCATCACACTGCCATCACTAGCAGGAATCTTTAACCAATGCCTTTGGGCTCTTTTGAAAGAGATGTCAGAGCCCAAGGTTCAGGCCTATCCGGGTTTGGTCAGAACCATGTCTAAAATTTGGTTTCAGAGTGTTCTGTAGTGTTCTAAAAATTTGGGACAGTAGATTAGGGGAAACCTGAAGTCTGATAGAACTCCCTTCCCTGTTGTCCGTAGATTGGCATGTATTCTTAAATTTCTTTGCCCTTCAGGGTTTGATCCATGAAGTCAGGGATGGTGTCCCTAGCCTCTGCTAGTCAGAAGGTGGGAATGGGTGATGGGTTGGATCACTCGATGATTACCTGTTCTGTTGATTCCCTCTCTGGCACCTGGCATTGGCCACTGTCGGAAGATAGGATACTGGGCTAGATGGACCTTTGGTCTGACCCCATATGGCCATTGTTATGTTCTTAAGGCCTTGTTAGAATCGGTGTTGTTTATGAAGACTTACTGCTTTTTCAAGTAGGTATGAAAGTGTGAAGTATTCTCTTCATCAGTTGACCAGGCACCTCTGATTGCATCATGGCCGAGAATCTGAGTCACTTTAGAGAAATAATCTACCTTGTATTCCTTAGTACTAGCCTCCAGTAAGTCTTCTAGTTGGAAACAGTTTAGCCTCTTTTCTGTTTTTCAGTGAACCCTGGTATACAGTCACATTCCACAGTCTTGGATTTGCCTTCTATTTCCCAGTCATCTATACTAATTCAGAAATTGATACAGGTCATTTAGTTACTGTTCAGTGGTAAGAGGCACAGTCCACCTCACTTAATAGTTAAAAGGAGTATTCAGCTTGCCACTCTATCCCTCTTTCCCTTCCTGTTAGAGGAAGCGTAGAACTCTGACTCTCATCTGGAAATGTCTTTTGGAGACTTTAATATAGGAGCTCGGATCATAATGACTTGAGAAGCAAGTTGTAGCCAGACCCTTGGACACACAGTGTAAGGAAAGGTATAAAGTGTAGGGAAAGGCAGGGTATGCTGCAGTGAGTCACTCCCATCCTGGACATAGTTAGTGTTTTATGTTCATGTTAGCACAAGTGATGGGCAGAGCTAGCTACCAACATCTCTGAAAATCTGCAGCACCACTGGCTAGCCACGGAAGAGAATACCTACTGCAGCCCCTGAAGGGGTATAGAAAGAGGATGTGCTTGCTCCCAAGGTGGTATAGACCAGGTCGGCACCAGCCCCCATCCAAGCTAGTGCTTTTAAAGGTACAGTGGAGCTCTTAGTTTTTTTTAATATGTAGTCATGCTCTGACTCAGGGCCTTTAGAAGATTCTGTGAGAATATTGCGATTCATTGTCTACGCAGATTCCTGTCAGTGGTGGATGGCAGCAGCTTTCACCAGTCTTTTCCATTACATTGCTTGGAAAACCCATTTGCTTGCTTGATGAAGGTTAATTTTGCACCTGTAAGGTGTGTGACCTCTATCCAAATCCTATAACTATAATAATCCCTATGGTTCTTTCCTGTCTGTTCCATGCAGATTGCTAATTGAGTATTTTAAGTCTTTCCATCAGTTAGCTTCCATTAGTATTTCAGAGTGCTGTGGCTTCTTTGTCACTTTGTGCTCTTGTCAACAAACTTCCCTTCTAGATATGTCTAAGAAAAGATACCCAAACTTGGTAGGCCTGTTTAGGTTTATTTTTTACTAGGTTTTTTTATTCTTTGATGGTCTCTTTTGGATTCTTGGAACCCCCTCAGTCAATTCCAGTTTCTGTCCACTTCTTTCTTCCCATTACTAGCCTCCTTAAATAGGGAATTCCCATTTGCTTTATTTAGTTAAGATCTGACTCGAAGTTTTCAACACCCACCCCCTTCACACCTTCCCTTCCCCCCCCCCCCCCCCCGATGTATTTATGAGCTCTTTGGTGCAGCTACCGGATTTTTGTTTTTTTTGTTTTTTAATAGTACCTAGCATAGCAGGGCCCCTAGGTGCTACTGCAATACTACTAGTAGTAGTAGTCTGATAGCTCTTTCATAGAAGGCAAAGTTCCTGGATCTTCAAGTTAGGGAGAAACCATGCTTTAAAAAAAAAAAAAAAAATTCACTTTCTCTTCTCCCCCATTAATTTAAATAGTTTGGGAATTAGTAACTTAACACCTCTTTCAGGAAAATGAAAGTAGTTGTGCCCTTCTGCAGCCTTGCCATGTGATGTTAAAGGGCTAAGCATCTTAATTTATACATCTTCCACCTGGATAGTCTTTCTTGCCCCCTCCACCACTTTGGGAAATGCTGGTGTAGCTCTTCTTACCATTTTACCCTCCTTTCTTTACTGCTTAGAGCAGTGAAATAGTTTAATAACGTTTTTAAATGTCAACATTGTTATTTAGCATTATTTAACATTATTCTACGTATGTCACATTGGTATAATTTAGAGCCTGTCTATAACTTGCTCAGTTCCTTTGTTTTCATGTATTTGGCAAGAGCAATTTATTATACTTCACGGGAATTTCAACAAAGGAGACAGTTCAATGGATTGGCTATGTTAATCTCTTAAATTATCCCTCTGTTGGTCCCTCTACTTATTTTCAGGAACTTAAAGTAATAAGCTTCTTGCCCAAACTACGAAATCTAAGAAGTAAAGATACAGTTTTCTGGCTGGGAAGTTTTGTTTCACAGTGTATCTAGTTAGGAAAGATTCATCAGCATTCTCTGTTCCTCCCTCTAATTCTGCTGCTGCCAACTCCCTTTGTCTACACTTTTTTGTAGCAACGTTTTCTTATTACACTTTAATGTCCATATTTCTAAAGACAGGCTTACTGTTGTCAGAGGCCATTCATGTAAATGCTTATCAGTGGGGAAGGGCAAAGGGAGAACTCTTTCAAATTGAAACTTTCGTCTGTAACTGTGGATGTCCTAGCTGGCTTTATTTAATTCATAATCTTGCTAAATTAGAAAATTCAATGCCAGTGTTCCATCTTGGACCAATCTTGAGCCAAATAACAGAAGAAGTCCCCAGCATTTATAATGTCACACACTTTGAAATAAGAAACGAGCAAAAAACAAATCCTAAGGAAAGCCTAACTAAGCATAGCTTTTATATTTTATTGTTAGGAAGATGAGTGATGTTAATTATTGTTGTCTTAGATACCGGAATGCCATGGACAATTGCTAAGTCATGTTAAGTTTGTTTTGAGGGTGGTTTTTACTCAAGATAAAGAAATAGATTGTCAAAATAAGCTGCAGAAGGTGATAGATTTCAAGATTTAGATTTAGGAGTCTGAAGTCTGTGTAAAGGTCAGATGCTTCAGACTGTAATTTAGAAATTAAGCATTTTGAGATGTTTAAATAGGAAGATGCTTTTTTAAAGACACATAGTATATTGATTTTATTGAAAAGTATATTGTCTCCCAAATTTTGCTTAGAAGCCAGATATGTGCAAAGAGCTAAGTTAGTTTTATAACTAAGATTGATAGCAAATTTCCATTAAGGAATTATTTAAGTTCTTTCTCTCTCATCACCTGCAGATAGTTAGTCAGTAAGAGCAGCAGCAGCAGTCAAGGTGGGTTGATGAATGAGTGTAATTCAGTTTCTTTGTATTGTGCAGCTTGAGAAATGCCAGTGGACTGACAGCAGCAGATCTTGCGCATACCCAGGGTTTCCAAGAGTGTGCCCAGTTTCTCTTGAACCTCCAGAACTGTCACCTGAACCGTTTCTTTAGCAATGGCGCGTTAAATGGAGGTCCCAATCCAGTCAATGGTGGGACAAGTCGAAAGAGATCCTTTGAAGATGTGGATTCTGCTGGAGTAAAGAAAGCTAGGATTGAAGGTGAGACTTCAGAGGTAAAAGTGGGAGGGGCAATATCACTGTTGACTGTGAGAATAACAGAAGGTACTCTGGGCTAGAAAGTTTATTTTTGACATCCCTAAAAAGGGATACATGAATCAAATATGAATAAAACAATTATGAAAACAAGACTGGTGGCCTCCTTAAAGAATTACCTTTGAACGTTCCCACTCTTAGCGAGTACATACCTCACTTCTGCAAGTCCCAGAGCTAGATGGACAGGAAGTAACTTGGAAGGAATGTGTGCACTCTCTTCTGACTCAGATGTTGATTCATAAAAGGACTGCGGAGCATCTTTTAGCGTCTTTCTGTCATAAAGAATATATAGTCACAGAAATATAGGGCTAGAATGGACTTGTAGAAGTCATCAGATCCAGACCCCTATGCTGATGCAGAACCTAGTAAATGTAGACCATCCCTGACTGATGTTTGTCTAACCTGTTCTTAAAAACCTCTAATGATGTGGGTTCCACAACCTCCCTTGGAAGTCTATTCCAGTGCTTAACTAACCTTGGAATCAAAGATTTTTTTTTTTCCCCCTCCTAATATCTAACGTATATCTCCCTTGGAGCAGATTAAGCCCATTATTACTTATCCTACCCCAGTGGACATGGAGAACAATTGATCACCATCTTCTTTATAACAACCCTTAACATATTTGAACACTGTTATCAGGTTAACCCAGTATTTTAACATTTACTTATGGATCAAGTTTTCTAAACCTTTTTATCATTTTGTTGCTCTCATCTGGGCAGTTTCTAATTTGTCTACATCATTTTCCTAAAGCGTGACATCTAGAATTGGACATAGTACTTCAGCTGTAGCCTCACCAGTGCCAGTAGAGCAGGACATCTGCCTCGCTTGTCTTACAACACGGGAGGTAATTGTCCAGTCCTGCTTGGCACTGGTGAGGCCTTAGGTGGAGGCCTTCTTAAAGTACCCAGAATATAAATAGCTGCCCTCACAAACAATCCCACTGTTTTTCTGTCTGCCGTATGCCGTAGTTGGGAACGTTTTCCTTTCCCTTCAGCATTATGCAGTACTTCCCAAAAAAATCCTACATAAATAGTTTAATGGTTTGTTAGACAAGGTTTTCCACCGGCAAAACTCTGTGGAAGGTACTGGCCAGATTTGGCTGCACTCCAAAAAACGTATTAAGGTCCTAAGGCTTCTCCATGACTGCCACCATTCTCTGTAATGGCCTGGAGATTCAAGCTTTCGTCATCAAAATTGGGGTTAAGTAGGGATGTGTTATTGCCCCAACTGGGTTCTCCATCTAATTAGCAGTCATTTTGGCCCTCTTTAAAGGTTGCCTCCCCAATAGAGTTGACATTCAATACAGAATGGATGGGCGACTTTTTAATCTTCGAAGTCTCCGCTTGAAGTCTAAAGTACTCAGTGCATCTATTATTGATCTTCAGTGTGCTGATGACTGTGCCATCCCTGCACCCGCTGAGAATTACCTTCAGTCCACACTGGATTTTTTTGCACAAGCTTACTGAAGCTTGGGACTCTCACTCAATATTGAGAAGACTAAAGTGATCCATCAGCCTGCCTCAGGCCTTGCACACAATCCACCACAAATCACCATCGAGGGACAAACTTTGGAGACAGTTGAGCACTTCAGCTACCTCGGTAGCCAACTTTCTCAAATTGCAAAAATTGACAGTAAGATCCAGCACAGGATCCAGTTCGCAAGTGCGTCCTTTGGATCCTGACGTGTTTTCACGGACCGTGACCTACGGCAGGATACCAAGGTCTATAAGACTATTGTTGTTCCTACACTCCTTTTATGGTTGCGAAACCTGGGTGACCTATCAACAGCATCTCAAGAGTCTGGAGAGGTACCACCAACAATACCTCCGAAAGATCCTCACATCAAGTGGGAGGATTGCTGCATTAACGCCAGTGTCACCAGCGTTGAAGCAATGATCCTCATGCTCCAACTCCACTGGACTGGACATTGTGTCTCAAAACAAGACCTCTGCTTTTAACTTGCTCATTGTCGGAGATCCCGTGGTCAGAGGAAACGCTACAAGGACACACTGAAAGTGTATCTGAAGAAAACTGATGTGGACATCACAAGCTGGGAGGAGCAAGTCCCCAACCAACCTCCATCAGGCAGTGGTCCACTTCAAGGAGAAGCGCCTTGCCCTCAACAATGCAGAGAGAGAAGGAAAAAGAGAGAACTTTTTCAGCAGGCAGCTGACCCACCAGGAAATCTCTGTACCTACTGTGGGCAGATCTGTGGTTCCAGGATCAGACTCCTGAGTCATCTCAGGACCCATCTGTAAATCCATGGTAGAGATCATCCTCTAATAGCGGCATTGCTGATGATGAGACAAGGTTTTGTTTATTTTCAGAAGTCAGAGATATTAGTGATCCAGCAGGGTTCCTTTTGTAGCATTGCAAAAAGCAGAGATTCACAAGATGTGATTCTTTCCCTTTCAAATGACTGAACTGGGCATGAGCAATGTCTTTATGTACTTGAAAGAAGATAGTTTTGCAAAAATCCTGGAACACCTGCTGGCCCTTTAAAAGAGCCCCAAAAGACAAGCCAGACCAGCAAGTGGTATTCCAAAATTACTTCCTTCAGCCCTGAAGTTGCAAAAGCCTTTGAAAAAAATCTTTTTGGCATGAGTGGTGTGTCTGTGAAACCCACTTCTGCACCATATTTTGCTAGATTCTCAGACAGAGAAGTCAGTCTGTGCAGAAGATAGCCTTGTAGGAACCCTTCAAGAAGTTTCAGAGGCTGCAGTATCTGAGATTTTGGTGGAATCTAGGGGTAGCACTTCTCTAGGTTCTGTTGACTTCAAAAATTGCTCTGCGCTAAGGTGAGGCTCCAAGAGGTTCAGCCAGACCTTGTTGCAGTTGGCCTTCCCAGATCTTAGTTGTCCTGAAGGAGAGAACTTCCTTGTATCTGGGCCATTTGGTTTAGTCTCCTGCACTAAGGCACTCATCTGATACATCCAGCATGATCTCCAAGAAATGCCTCTAAAGGTGTCAAAGGACGGCTTTCTGAAGATTCTACACCATCCTCTGTGCCCAGCTGTGATTATTCCTTATTGGAGTTGCTAGCTTTTGATTGCCCTACCATTGTTGCCAAGGTAGTTTTGATGAAGTGGGGAATTTTTGCTGCTAATTTTTATGAGTACTGTGTGCGCTTCAGTTTCCCCTATATGCTGCATGGATAACTAGGTGGTTGGGAAAAGGCTGTTTACTCTTGGGCAGTCGTGTGAATAGCACCTGGCTCTGTTGGGTTTGGGGCCTAGGTCAATGGATGGTCTGTGAAGACAACAGCAAATCCAATCACCAAACTTTTGGTACCTAGCAGCTAATGACCATGAATGGTCCACTGCCTCTGGAGGAGGCTAGCCATATTTGACCAGCTGGACAACGACTGACTGAGGAGGGGCCTAGTAGAACTGGCCTGGGAACTTGAACAAAGAGGATGGAGAGAGAGAGCAGGAGCCAAGGATGGACACTGCTTTGCTGGGCTTTGGATAACCAGAGTGGAGCATGCTCTAAATTTTGTTTTCTTTACGCTAACCAAGGACTTTCTATGCTATGTTCCAGACATCTAATAAACACTGCTGTTCTTGCAGTGCCTGCCAAGTCCCTACAAATGCTGACCGTGGGGGTGCATTACCCCCTTTGGGTGTACAAATCTCTCTGGGGTGTCCAACTCAGGTGGACTCACTGAAGAGAGCTCATGGTGTGAAGCAGGGGTGCTGGAGGTTCTGAGGTTCAGTTCAAGGAGACAGGGAAGCCAAATGTCTTACCCTAGTGAAAGAGTGAGATCCTAAGGAGGTCTGGCACCCTGAGGGGAGTCCTCCCTGGACTGTTCTAGAGCACTGGACCTTTGGCTCCATGACCGGTGGTAGCAGAGGATGGCTTCTGAATGCACCAAGAGTATGGTTGGTTGCTGAATGCACCAGGAGTATGTTGCAGTACGTGACTAGCAGCAATAAAACAAAAGTAGTCAAAGGAAATAGCCAGAAAATGGTGTATTACCATCTTCCTAAGAAGGAATTGCAAACCTGTGCATAGAGAGAGGATTAGGCTTTGGAAACATTGCATGGCTGGAGAAGAATGATCAGTGTAAGAGGCAGGTTCCAGCCCCAAATGTGTGTCCAAGAGAGTCCAGGGACAGCACCAGAGAGAGCAGCCAGGGCAGCAGCAGGGTGTCCACAAGACCCAGTTCCACCATCCAGCCTAGGGGTCTTCATGGGGAGCAAGGTCATAAACAGATTTGAAGCAATGGGAGTTGGAGCTGAGAGAGAAGTTGCTGGAAGACTGCAAGAAGTAATGAAAGCATGAATGGGAGATGAAGAAGCAGAGGAGCAAGAGGACCCACATAGGGGTAAGTGAGGAGAGGCCATGGGATGCCAAGTCCACAAGGAATCTAGATACCAAATTGCTGCCCCAGTTTAAGGAGGCAGGGATGTAGATGCCTACCCCACTGCCTTTGAAAAGGCTTGTAATTTGAACCAGGTTAACCCTGTGGGCTGGCTTCGCTGTCTCACCCCCTTACTTGGTCCCAACCCATATAGGCTTACAGCCAGATGGATGGAGTTGATATTGGGGACTATGAACTATTCAAAAAAGCTTTGCTGCTCAAGTTTGAATTGACTCCTGAAGCATTTAGGAAAAGGTTTCAGAGTGTGCAAAAGACTTAGAATGTGACCTACTTGGAAGCCACCATCCTGATGGGAGCGTATTTTGACAGATGGGGTAAGAATGCAGGGGTCACCATGCTAGAGGGTTTGTATATCCTAATTGGGTTGGAGCAAGGCTATGAGATGGGCTTCCTGTTCACTAATCATATTGTCAACCTATCAGAACACAAGGATTTGCACAGTGCGAGTCAATTGGCGGATGAAGAGGTTCTCCCAGGGACTATTCCAGAGCTGTTCCAGAGCACTGGACTTTGTGGATCTGTGATAATAGTGCATCCTTAATGCACTAGTTCTAGAGAAGGC